TTTTTATAAATGGGTGTTGGATTTTGTCAAATGCTTTTTCTTCATCTATTGATGTGATCATATTATTTTTCTTCCTTAGCCTGTAGAGGTGATGCATTACATTGCTACATTTTGAATGTTTAACTAGCCTTGCATGCCTGGAATAAATCCCACTCCTTTGAAGATCTTAATCTGTATCCTTTCACTATAATAAACTATGTTTGAAATGATATACAGTAGTTCCTCCTTATCCACAGGGGGATACATTCCAAGACTCCCAGTGGATACCTGACACTGCAGATGGTACTGAACCCTATATAGATTATGTTTTTTCCTATACATACATACCTATAATAAAGTTTACTTTCTAAATTAGGCACAGTAGGAGATTAACAACAACTAATGATAAAATAGAACAATTATAATAATACACTGTAATAATAGTTACCGTAGATCTTAGCAACCTCAGCATAAGGTTTTTCTTCTTTCCTTAAGTTAAGAACTTTTACCTCTTCACTCAAAGGGTGAAATCTGAATTGCCAGCACCACTACTCCTGTGCTTTGGGCACATTATGGAGTAAAATAAGGGTGACTTGAACACAAGTGCTGCAACACCTGACTGTCGATCTGAGAGCCCAGGCAGCTTAAGTGACTAATAGGCGGGTAATATATAGAGTGTGGATCCCTTGGACAAAGAGATGAGTCACACCGTGGTTGAATCGGAGCAGAATGGCATGAGATTTCATCATACTATGCAGAACAGCGTGCAATTAAAAACTTACGAATTGTTTATTTCTGGATTTTTCCATTTAATATTTTCACACCGAGGTTGACCGCAGGTAACTGAAACCTTGGAAAGCAAAACTGTGATAACGGGGGAGTACTGCACACTGTTAATTCTTGTTCCTTGCAGTAGTTTCATTCTATAAAGTCACTGGAAACACTGGATTATGGAATATTGAACCATTGCTCTTTGGGGAAACACAGGGCTACATTCTTATTAGCCTCTGGTCACAACATTTTCATTGATCAGTCATTGCGGAGCCTTGTTTTATGTGTATTCTTGCTTTAAAAAAAAACCCTTATTTAACATATATTGCTGATTCATTAACATTGAACTCACAGCCAACAGTGCTATAAAATGCCTGAACGAAGCTCATTTAACACATGCATTTTCTTCATAAGGCTTATCATAGGCTTCATATGCTTAGGAACTCTAGACAGAACTTCAGTATTATGCTTGGAGGTCATTTTCAACAGCGAAATCACCACCCAAAAAACGCACAAAAATGCAAAAAATGTGATGCTAAATTTACAGTGAAAAGGATACAATTATAATACGAGAGCTAAAAACGCCAGTGCATGGTCTTGTTCCACCTCAGCTGGGAATGTGTGCATCAAGCAACTCAGTTTTTTGCTGCTCTGTGCACAATCGCACATGACCAAAAGCACCATGTGTATTGATTTTGGGGGTTCAAATTAATTTTAGGGAGTAAGCAAATTTGCAAATATATAGTCTGAAAATAACGAGAATATTCAGGCTGAGAAATGATACTCATTTTGTTCTGTTTTATACTTCATATGTTACTCCAAGGGTCACACTGAATTTGAATTTTCGCCCAGGAGGCATCCCCTTAGGGAATGATGCACTGCATAGGGGAAGATCCAATCATACTGTAGCACTGGTAGATACCTGTTGAAAAAAAGGAAATTGTGGCAAAAGACTACATTACCTTATTCTCCACTCTCTCGCCAACAGTAACACGATGCTCAACACATAAATTAATATTTGTGGAGTGGGTGTATCAATGCAATTGCTGGTGAGTCTCATTTCCTGGTATCCACCTTCCCACACCTTCTCATCTACTCCCTCTCCCTTCTCTCAATTTCTCTGGCAGTTCAGCTTGTAACCTTCTGGCTGGCACTCAATGCAAACTTACTCCCTGATCCATTATTATTATGATTGTATGATTGCTTCCTGAGCACACATCCTTCCTTCTTCCTCAAGGAAGCCAAGCTCCTGAGGGTCACAGGCTGCACTAGGCTTTGTTCAATCCTCCTCTCAATCTGTATCCCTCTAAGTAGACACAGCACCCCTTCCCTGCTTGGCCTTTGTGACACCTCACATCTTGGGCTCCCAGGTGCCTGCACCTGGTCCCTTCCCTGCTCATTGATTACCACACCTTTCCTTGCAGTGAGCATTCTGGACAAAGTCCAGAAGTTTTAGTGGAGGAAATGAAGGGAACCAGAGGTTTAGTAGAGGAAGTAAAGAGACTGGAGAGATCTGGGGACTGACAAACAGGGGACAAATGTTGGCTGCTGCTGAGTAAGAAAGGAGGGAGAGGTGGATCCAAATGAGGTGCTGGCTTTGAAATGGGTTCCAGCCTGGAGGGAAACTAATGGGCTTCCTGGTCTTCTTTCTCTTCACCCCTTTGTCACACCACCCCAACTTTCCCTTCTCAGGCTTTTTCAGATGTTTATGTCGTCTTCTTCTTATTTTTAATTCCCTCAAGGCCTTTCTCTTGGTGTGTGTCAAATCTCCCTCTTCTTTCCCTTATAAGGACACTAATCATTAGGTTTAGGGCCCACCTTAAAACTAGGATGAACTCTTCTAGAGATTCTTAACTTAATTACATCTGCAAAGACTTGATTTCTAAAAAGAAAAAGTCACATCCACATTCACAAGTACTAGTGGCTAAGGCTCAGACATACCTTTTTGGGGGCACAGTTCAACCCACTACAACCTCTGTAACTTTTCCATTATGTAACCTAAATATGAATACATTCTGCCCCATAAAAGAGCCCTGGTTAACATTTCCCCTAAGTCCATGGTCTCCTCTCTCAATTTCAGAAGTTCAGAGCTCAAAAGTACCATAAAGATAATTCAGTTCAACATGTTAAAATAAGATTTGGGGTGGGTGGCGTAGAGGTGGGTGGCTGATTTTGCCCAGTTTTTTCAGCAGTTTGCATGGCAAGGGAAGAAAGGAATGCTCCAGATCTTCACGTCTTCTGACACTTTGTCCCCAGGGAAGCCAGGAGACAGAATTGCTTTTAGGGCTCCTGGTGATCTGGAATGGTTATCCAGGCTCCAGAGGTGGTCTAAAACCTGCTTCCCCGCTCAGGATGACTTTCCACCTTAGATGCCTTATTTTCTCATTTGTCAAATTGAGATGATGACAAAATTTACCTTCTAAGATTGTGCAAAATGTAAATGTGATATTGCATTTAAAGTTTTAACATGGCCCTAAATATTAAGCACTGCATAAAATGTTAGCTACTGTGATAACGTTATCAATGGAAGAGAGACGAAAGAGAATGGAAAGAAATGAAGAACTGGAGATGAGGGGTCAAGACTTGTTGATAACATAGACATGGGAGATGAGGGGAAATGAGTGACCAAAAATACTTCCAAAGATTTTAGTCTGGAAGGCTAGGTGGGTGGCGAGGCTGTGAAAAGAATACAGACACCAGGAAAAAGCAGATTCAGGGGGTGCAGGGTGGGGGTTCTCCATGGCTTGGTTTCTAACAAGTTGGGTTTGAGGGGACTCTGTCCAGGAGTTTGACTTGCATATTTGTGCTCCTGAGACATATCAGGGCTAGAACTAATAATCATGGAATGATCCAGAGACAGGTACTAGGGAAGCTGACCCATGACTGCAATTGCCAAGTGGAGAATAAGGGAGTGAAGAGGATGAAAGATGGGATTCCAAAGGAATATTTGGATAGTATGAAGAGAAAGAGGAGTGAGGAATGGCTTGAACAGTGGAAGGAAAGTCAAGTGCCATAAAAAGCTAAGAATAAAAAGATCCTTTAAGACGGGAGACAAGCATTTGTCAGGGAGTAGGGAAGGGGCAAGTGTCAGATTAAAATAGGGTGATACACGGAGATTCTTTGGGGTGCTAGAGTTGTTTTGCATCCTGATAATGGTGGTTTAAAACTCATAGGACTGTGTGACAAAAATAAAAGAGCACAGGGGCTGGGCCAGTGGCGTAGAGGTTAAGTTTGCACACTCTGCTTCACAGCGGCCTGGGGTTCGCCAGTTCGGATCCCGGGTGCGAACCTATGCTGTGGCAGGTGTCCCACATATAAAACAGAAGAAGATGGGCACAGATGTTAGCTCAGGGCCAATCTTCCTCAGCAAAAAGAGGAGGATTGGTGGTGGATGTTAGTTCAAAGCTAATCTTCCTAAAAAAATAAATAAATAAAAAGAAATAAAATACGAGTGCATATTACTGTATATAAATTAAGAAATAAAAAGGACAGCCTGTAGAAAAGTTGATAAAAGGTCAATGGATTTGATCAGAGGTCAGAGGTTCCAAGGAGCAACTGTCCTTTCTTCTGTCTTTTGGATTTCCCATCCATTTCTCTTCTTCTCAAGAGCTGTACAAACTTGGCCAAGTTCGTTAACCTTTTTGTGCCTCAGTTTCCTTATGAGTGAAATGGGGCTAATGAAAGTACCTACCTTAGAGGGCTGATGTGAGGATGCAGAGTTATCATAAAGTACTTAAGACAGTGCTTAGTCCATTATCAAGCTATATAATTTTTTAAAAATACTGATAAGAAATCAAGGCTCAGGGATTTTAAGTAATTATCCCAAGGCATATCAGCTGTATATATTGGGCAGTTTTCAAAATCTGAAATTCAAAATCCTTTCTGGATGTCTTCAAAGGTGTTAACAGGCAGAGAGCGTGATAGAAAAACAAGAGTTTGTGTTTCAGTGTGAAAGACGGGAAGGGATGAAATAAGGAAATTAATGTTTTGGAAGAGAAACCAAGGTAGAAATGAGAAGTGAAAGGCCATGATTAAAGCTTTTGTGAGCTCACCTGGAATTCTCATGAGGAAAATAAGGAAAGACAGAAAAGAGATGGGCTGTATGAAAAATCAAAAGGCGGCAGGAAGAAGTAGAATTTTTCCTAGCTGTGTCCAATTTTGGCCTGAGTTTTCACTTGATAATTCTCTGTGATGGCATCAGATATTAAACATGGCCAAATATTTCAGCTGAACAAAAACACCTGGTGATAGGATTTGTTTATAGCATAATTTATTTGTAGGACATGGTGAATACGCAGGTGACTTGCAGTTAGTAATCAGTTGTAACATACACTTCATGATAAACACTGGGTTACAGCCTTGCTTACAATGATAATTGATGATTGTATATATGTGCACGTATCGCATGCTTGTGTGTGCTGGCTACCTATTGTCAGTTTAGCAGCATCACTACTTCCTTATAAAGCTGAGAATTATTTTCCTCAAATCCCTGTGTTTTCTGGGTTGCATTGGTAAGAAAAACTCATAAAAATATTGGGCGGTGGAAATGAAGTGGAAGTCATTACTGGAAGATTGTGGCAGTCAGGCAGGACTTTGGCTCCATAAGCTCCCACTTGTACGTTATGTCTGATGCTGCAACTTTGCAACCTCTTTGTAAGCTATCACTTTACCATCATGGAGACAAGACATGGCAACTTCTCAGACTTTCCCACGTCAATCAGCAACTTCTATCTGTTTTCCAATGCTTTAGGTTGACATCCTCTGGCTGCAGTCTGACAGATTTTCTCTTCCTGTGCTCCTTCCATATTCATACAACCCCAATTCATAACTAAATACCTGATTCTTACTGTGTTTGTAGTGGCTTTATTCTTCAGAATCCAGACTGATACTGTAACTACGTGTACATATGCTAGATCATCCAAAACAGCCCCAATTTCCTGAATGAATATCATAATTCCCTGAAGAATACCAGGCATTACAACAGTATTAATATGCCTAAAATCCAAAAAACTGACAATACCAAACGTTGGTGAGGATGTGAAACAATACGAACTCTCATTTATTGCTAGTGGGAATGCGAAATGGTATAGCCACATTGGAAGACAGTTTGGCAGATTCTTACAAAGTTGAACACAATCTTAGCATATACCACAGTAATCACACTTCTAGGTATTTACCCAACTCAGTTGAAAATTTATGTTCACACAAAAGCTTGTACGCAAATTTATTTAGAATCACCAACTGTAAGCAGCCAAATTATCTTTCAAAAAGTGAATGAATAAACAAACTGTGATATATCCACACAATGAAATATTATTCAGCAATAAAAAGAAATGAGTTTTCAATCCATGAAAAGACAGAGAAATACTTTAATTGCATATTGCTAACTGAAAGAAGTCAATCTGAAAAAGCTAACTAGTATATGATTCCGCTTCTATGACACTCTGGAAAAGGCAAACTACAGGGACAGCACAAAGGTCAGGGGTCACCAGGGGTTCAGGGGAGAGAGGAGGGATAAATAGGTAAAGCACATGGGAATTTTAGGGTGGTGAAGTGATTCTGGATAACATTGTAATGATGGATACATGACATTATGCACTTGTCAAAACCCATAGAATTTACAGCATGAAAAGTGAACCTTAATGTATGCAAATTTAAGAAATCATTTAGGAGGTCAAGGGACCAAAGGAAAGAAGGCAGGCTGTGACGAGAAAATCTTAACTGTATTAAAAAAACCTATGAAACAACCTCACTGAAGGAGATGAGGGAAAAGGTGCTCACCTAAGAATGAGTCTTTAAGATGAAAGTCAAAGGAACCTGCCCATAAACACTGTACTCTAGGTGATAAAGTTATTTCCCATCCAAGTACAGTGAACAATAACAATTTTGTTTGAGATCATTTCTAGCCAAGTATTTAGTTCCTCACTAAAAATTAACTGCATCCCTAAGTTTTGCTACTGATTGACCCACACATTTTCTTTCCTTTTTTTTTTTTTTGAGGAAGATTAGCCCTGAGCTAATTACTGCCAGTCCTCCTCTTTTTTGCATAGGAAGCCTGGCTCTGAGCTAACATCGTGCCCATCTTCCTCTACTTTATACGTGGGATGCCTACCACAGCATGGCGTGCCAAGCGGTGCCATGTCTGCACCCAGAATCCGAACCAGCAAATCCCAGGCTGCTGAGAAGTGTAACGGGCGAACTTAACCGCTGCGCCACCGGGCTGGCCTCAACCCACACATTTTCTAAGCACGTACATTCCATGTGCCAGATATTGCAGATAATGAGATGAACAAGTCTCAGATCCTGCCTTCAAGCAACTGAATTTAGGGGAAGATATGGAAGGTTAAAAAAAATAACGGTCACACTACTTTTAGAGTATACAACTGATTATTACCTAATCTTATCTTAATCAATTCTTCACATTGCTTGACTTTAAAATAGGGATAACAGAGAGCCAGCCCTGACGGCCTAGTGGTTAAAGTTCAGCACGCTCTGCTTCAGCGGCCCAGGTTCCGTTCCTGGGCTTGGAATCATACAACTTGTCTGTCAGTAGCGACGCTGTGACAGTGGGTCACACAGAAGAACTCACAACTATACACAACTATGTACTGGGCCTTTGGCGGCGGATGGGGGAAGAAGAAGAAAAAAAGGAAGAAGATTGGCAACAGATGTTGGCTTAGGGCTAATCTTCCCTTGCAAAAAAACAGTAATCATTAGCAAAAATGAAAATTTCTTAAAAAAAGTAAAATAGGGATAACAGTCCACCTCATAGAGTTGTAAGGACTAGCTTCTTCATGTGCTTAGAAAAATGCTTGGCACCTAGGAAGTCACCAATAATTATTATTATTTTAATTTCTAGCTTGCATACTTAAGAATGGTTATTTCTGAATGTCATTTCAGGAGACTTTGCCCTCACACTTTACATATTTCCTGATTAAATTTTCTTTTTTTTGTTTTTATTTTTTTGCAGGGAAAAGTTCACCCTGAGCTAACATTTGCTGCTAGTCTTCCTTTTTTCTTTTTTTTCCCTCCCCAAGGCCCCAGTACATGGTTGTATATCCTAGTTCTAAGACATTCTAGTTCTTCTATGTGAGCTGCCACAGCATGGCAACTGACAGACAGGTAATGTGGTTCTGTGACCAGGAAATGAACCCTGGCTGCTCAAGTGGTCAGAGTGGCAAACTTTAACCACTAGGCCATCAGAGCTGGCACTAATTATTATTACTGTTGACGAAACTGACCATTTGGAATTTAGAAAACTATCATCATTGCCTACGGAATAGCAACTCCACAGGTAATCTGCTTAAAACTAGTAAACAGACCAAATTCTCACTGTCCTCAATCCTCATCACTCAACATTTCTACATCTTGCTGATTTATACATAGTTCTTCATACCATGCTCCATGATTTTGCTTAATATCAAGGAGGATGGATTCGAGAGTAGGGCCAAACTCAATGATAGTGGGAACTGTGTTTGGGTACAAATAAGGGAAGCCAGCAGTATGCATGGCCAGCAATGAACCTTTTGAATCAAACACTGGGGAGCCAGAAGACCCCCAAAAAAAAGAGGTCTCATAGGTAATCACATCACGGTTGTAAACTACTTCCTGGAAACTACTTTGAGTGAACATATGGATCCACTCCCTAGCATAATCACAACCCTGTGCTTCTCTAGCCTGAAGATTTTCCTGACATTTCTCTACTCGCTGACCTTGAGGGATCACAGCACAAGCATCAGTAGACTTTGCCTCTCCATTTGGGTGGCCAATAATATACAGCAGCCCACCAGCAGGTGTGGGAGAAATTCCATTATACAATCCCGAAGGTACTTTCTGTCCATTTTCCTTCAGTTTCAGAACAGCATAATCAAGAGTTTCATCAGATATCTCAAACCAAGGTTCAACAAAAAAGCAATTCTCTTCTTTTTCTGGGAGCCCTTCATAACCAAATGTCACTCTCACACACTGACCAACTATGTCTGCCCACTTACTTGGCTCTATACCTTGTCCCACAATGTTATTTATTACATGTCGACAAGTGAAAATGAACAACCCTCTAAAAACAAAGCAGGTGGCAGAGCCCATATTTCCATTGTTGTCCCAGGATATGTACCCAATTGAGTTACTGAGATGAGAAAGAAGTTTGTGTACTTTAACCAGAGTAGAGTTTTTTGTCAGTTTCCCAAAGTTTGTTTTATGCAATTTAAATAATGAAGTTTTCCCCTTTATTTTTTTCATTTCTTTCTCAAAATTTTCTCTGATTTTTTCACGTTCTCTTTTCAAACTGGGGTACTGGTCCACAATTTCTTCACTCAACACACAAGTGTTTACTTCCTCTAACTCAGGATTCAGAGCTGCTGCTGCCCTGGAGCCCATTCTTTTTTCAACCTCGATCTGAAAGAGCTTGCCTTCTAAGTCATCAACAGGTTGTGTGTTTTCTAAAATGGAGTCCAAGTTTTTAATGAGTTTCCAATCATCATTCTCCAGACAGGAAAGAAACCTGCCATCCTTGCACAGAGCATCCTTGATGGTTTCTCCTTTGAAAGCATAGATGCAGAGTTTGCACCCTTCTTTGTGAAGTTCCCCGCGTTTGACAATCCTTTTTTTCCTCTTCCCAATTGCATGAATATAAAATTTGACACAGTCAGCAGATACCTCGTCATGCCGGCCAAATACCTGGTTCTCTTCTTTCTGCTTACTTTGGGCAAATCTAAGTACCACGTGACAGTTTTCCGGAAAACAACTGAGAGGCATTCCCAGGTTTATATATCCTTCAATTCCTTCTGTGCCTCGCACCAGCATTTCTTTGCCTTGCTGAGTTTCTATCTCTTCTTTGACAGCCTTAAGAGTGTTGAGTGCCACGTATAAGCTATCCCTCTCATTATGTGTGAGCTCGTGTTTCATCTTTTTGTTTTTCTTGTGATTTACATCCAAGGTAACATAAATTGTCTTATTTAGGGGCACAGTCTGGTCTTTGGGACCTTGAACCTGGGTGTTAGAGATATCTTTTGGACCTTTTCTAGAGCCCGTCTTCATTTGAGAAATACTGGAATTATTCTGTTCTTTTTTATTGACCTAAAAATAAATGTTAAATACTTTAAAACTCTGAATGCAACTCTAGTTTTTTGTTTCTCTTTTTAGTACATAATTCAAAAAATTTCTATAGGAAACTCAGAACCAATCTCAAAAGGCCAGTGAATACAAAGAAATCAGAGTTTGAGTTGGGATTCAAAATATAAGGTGAGTTTCCTGTCCCATCAGTCAGATAAGCTCTTCATACTGCCACACTAGTGCATTTTTCTGGGAAATGAGGAAAGAAATAACTTTTTTTCAACTGCATCAAAAACAGAGATGCTTAAAAGTCTGCCAACTCTCTTACAGTGTTATTTCAGGTCTTGTTTACTATTTTCAGCTGTATAGTTTTTATTTTTTTCTGAGCATAGTGATGGATTGCACCAAAAATGTCTTCTTAAAGCTCCAAACTCGGCAAGAATAAGTTATCGGGATTTATTATGCATTAAATATTAAAAAAAAACCATGATTAGTTAACTAATAATTTGGTCATAATAATATAGTTATTTATAATAAAAACTTTGATTCACCTGGCATCTATCATGAAAAGAGTGCAAATTATTTCCTCTATTATATCAATTAATTCCTAAATCCTATGAAATGAGGAGGAACAAATATGGCCTCTCTGTCCTTTTGGTGGAGAAACGGAAGCACAGAAAGTTCTCCCTGTAAGTGCCTTTTCTGGGGTCACATAATAACCAATGAATGAAGTGAATATCAGAACTCCAATACCTAGTCTAGCATTTCTTCCATTAGATTATATATTCTTTTTGTAAATTTTATATCATTGATTCCCATTATCATAGGGCATTATCTTAAAAATCAGGGGTGGGGGAGGGGAGAGGAATTACGTAAGGAGAATTAATAAAATAGCAGAAATTCAATGAAAAATTAAGAGCATCTGATTCCTATATTTAAAAGATACATTTTACCCAAGTCAGATTCATCATGGCAGGGGTGCCAACAGATATGGGTTCATATGCCAGCAATGCCATTTGCTGGTAATGGAATAACAATGCCAGGATTATTGTACAGATTAAGTATAACATCACATGTGACAATGCCTGGCACAATGACCTGCACATTATACGTTAATTTTTACTTTCCTTCTTTGTAATGGTATTAATATTCTGGATCAAAAAAAAGGAATGTAACATAATATAAATTTACTCTGGGACTTCATACAAAGTCTCAAAGAGTACCCCTTCAGCCTAATGCTGCCAAAACATCCAAAAATGCTGTCATACACCCCATCAGAACAATGTAATGGATTTCCAACTATTCAAAGGATTCTTGGGCGGATATGGACACTTTCAAAAGGGGATCTGGTGTAGTACCTGATTATTAGCTCCCTCTGTTGTGGAACAGAATAGAGAAAAACAGAATTAGACTTCTCTTGGCTTTTCTAGATATTTGGATGTTTCAGTTAAAACCAGGGTCAAAGAAAAGTTAAAGGCTTTTAAGTTGCATTCTCAAATGTTCACCATTTCTCAGACTCCTTGATAAATTCAAGGAGCATTTTAGAGTCAGAAAAGGATGTGATGGTTTGATATGATAACAAAGCCCAGTTAATAGAAAGAGCTCCGACTTAATGTCAGTAAATAAACTTAAGTCCAAGACTTCACTCCACTTCTGCCTTAAGCAACAACTCACTTCTCTTCTCTTCTTATAAACAAATTGAGGATAATAAAATCCTTCCTGACTGCCTAACAAGGTTACAGTAAGAGTAAACATTTAAAAAATTGTTTTATAAACTGTAAAGCACTATACAAATGTAGGTTATTATTGTTATCAAATAGATCAGCCATATTTGGGATGGTATATATTTTCATGCTTTGAAATAGCATTGATTTTGTCTTATTACATAGTTTAATACATTATATTTGATATTTTGCAGTTGTTCAGGAAATGTTACAATAGCTTTTTTTGTGCATGTGAGGAAGATCGACGCTAAGCTAACATCTGTTGTCAATCTTCCTCTTTTTGCTTGAGAAAGATTGCCATTGAGCTAACATCTATGCCAATCTTCCTCTATTTTATGTGGGATGTTGCCACAGTGTAGCTTGACAAGCGGTACTATGTCTGCGCCTGGGATCTGAACCTGCAAACCTAGGGCCGCCAAAGCGGAGTGCAAGAACTCAACCACTACGCCACTGGGCCAGCCCCTACAATAGCTTTTTATTAAAGGCTGCTTTGATATGGCCAAGATTTTTACCAAAACTCCTCCCCGCCACCACCTCCCAAAATAGAAAGAATAAAATGGATGAGAAACTTACTTAATATTCCCCACATACAATGAGATAATTTCTTGACAGGAAGAACTATGAATCAATGTGAAGGATGGCTAAGTCTAATATCAAGATATTCTATAAATTGTTACAAACATACCTGAGAAAAATAGTTATCAATTTTCATATTACTCTTTTTATCAAATGGGATCTTCTGTGACCTGCGCTTCTTAGGGCTCATGATGGCTTGAAGACGAATAGACAGTTCAGCTGAAATACTAATTTCAAAGAGGTTCAAGTTACAGTAGTATCTTCATAGCTATTCTTAATTGTACAGAGGATAAGATTAACAGGGACCCCATAGCCCACCTTTTCCTTCAGCTCCAGCTTTGCTCTCCTCAGAGATGTTAACTGAGCAAGTAGACAGTTTTTCTATCAACTACAATCACCCCAACAATAAAAGCTCCCTTTTATAGAGCACTATACTAAATACTTTACAAAAATTATCTCTAATCGCCCATGCCCACAGATACCATGCAAAGCAGGTATAGCTGCATTTTGTAGATGGGGAAAGTGTAACTCAGAGAACGTAGGTGACCTGCCCAAGACCAGAGCTACACGGCAGAGATGGAATTCAAATGCAGGTATAAATACCCGACAGAAGGGTTTGCAGTTGGAGAACTCAAAAGCGTGTTCTAGTTACATTGATGTTAAAATCTAGCCTCCGTTTAAGATGGAGATGGTACAATTGCAGGGAAACAGATGGAAAAGGAACTGGGTGATACCATGAAGATAAATCAAAATGACAGCTTGCCCTCTATCTTTCCTCTGATGTCTCCCCAGAAGAAAATGAACAATGTAAATAAAATAGTGAAATCCTCAATAGTGATAAATACCACTAGAAGGAAAACCACAGAGGGCAGCAGCTGTCTATGTTCAGTATCTCAGTATCTAACACAACGTCTGGCACACGGCAGGCCCTCAATAAAGATACATTTGTAAAGATACATTCGATGAATGAATGGAGTATGCATATGATGTACTATGCCCGGTTCTCAGTGCTCTTCATAAACTACTTCACATACTTCTTACAGCCCTGTGAGATAGACATTATTAGTCCCATTTTACTAATAAAGAACTTGAACACTTAGGGAAATTAAACTATTTACTCAAGGTCACAAAGCCCCAGAAAGTATACTTTTAATGACTTTTGATTATGAACATTTTCAAATATTAAAAAAAAACAAATAGTATAATGAACTTCCCTATACTTATCACAGTTAATAATTGCTCATTTTTTGCAAATTTGTGTCTTTTTATTTTACTAGACTATTTTACAGTTAGAGACATCATAATATTTTAACCCTAATTATAATCTTCCATCTCTAAAAATTTAAGACTTTTTCTTAAAGAATTATACCACTAATTTATTCAGAACAAGATTTAATTGAAGTAGACAAGTTGTCTTTAATTAGTATGGCTCTTAAGTCTCTTATTCTAGGAAAAGCATTGATTTGTTGAAGGGAACAGAGAAGTTGTAGAATGTTCACCTTCTGGGTTGCTTTTTGATGTTTTTTAAATTTATGCTCTGGCCCCTGTATTTCTTGTCAAGTAGAAATTATCTAAAGACTATGTTTATTCTCTTAACCATTTCACTACAGAGCAGGAAACCTGGCTTCATCATTTACCAGTAATATGCTAGCTAGGAAACTCACTTCAGCCTTTCTGAGCCTTTGTGTTCTCTTTGCAAAATGAGGCAATGATTCTAAATGAGAGAATGAATAAGAAAGTGCTGTATCCATGTTTGTTTTCATAGTACCATCGGGGTTCAAATACCAGGCTATCATTTACTATCTTCACTCTCTGCCTCATTCTCCACACCTCCAAGATGGAAGCAGCAACAGAATCAGCCTCTGTTGTTGTGAAGATTAAAAAATATAAAGCATGTAAAGCCTTTAGAACAAGGCCTAGCACATGACAGATTGCCCAGTAAATATTGCTGCTGTTAGTATTATCAACAACAATATCCTTACCACTGGCGTACCTTTTTTTTTTAAGCTTTTTGGTGAGGAAGATTGACCCTAAGCTAACATCTGTTGCCAATCTTCCTCATTTTTTTTCTCCCCAAAGCCCCAAAAGTTGTAAGTCCTGCTAGTTCTTCTATGTAGGATGCCACCACAGCATGGCTTGATGAGCCCTGTGTAGGTCCATGCCCAGGATCCGAACCAGGGAAGCCGGGCAACCAAAGTGAAGCACATGAACTTAACCACTACACCACCAGGCTGGCCCCAGGGGTACTTTTTAAGGAGCAGAGAACTTGGGGAAACAAAAATAGATACATAAAATTAAGGAGCTGGGCTATGTTGAGAGATCCTTGAAGGCAGGAACTTACTGCCTAACAACTAAGAGAATTTGGGGGTTCAGTGTGTCTGTTGATGGTGACCCATCCTATGGAATTGAGAGAGGCCTCAGATGCTTTAAGAGTGATTATTACACATGGACCAAAAAAGGAATATAAAGTGGGCAGAAACGAACGTGAATTTTGCACTCCACTGGAATGAACTAGAGCAATCACAGTGGAGAGGAGCAAGAGGGTAAGAAACTAATACCCCAATACCCTCCTCCAACACGGTTTCCAGCATCCAGTCTGAACCATGTTCCATCAAAACGTGAAGTGTACTATCCTACTCCAAGTTCTGTTTTATAGCTGGAGAAGCAGAGGCTCTGTGACCTGAGGGCCTTGCCCTATGTCCTGCAGTAAAGAGATAAGGCAATACACTTGTCCTATCTCAGTTTCCAGCCCACCCAAAGGCTCCCCCTTGGAATTCTTCTCCCCATCAAATCCCACCCTCTCTCTCTCTCTCTCTCCCCCTCCTGTTTGTCCCCCTCCCTCTCTCTGCTATCTTCTCTTTCCCCCTCCTCTGTCCTCCTCCTTTCTCTCCCTCCCCTCTCCACTTCTCCCTCCTCCCCTCCTCTCTCCTCTCAGGCACTCCCAAGCCTGAGCTGAACCAAGCTGTTGAGGGATCAGAGGGATCCCGACCGACCCTAGACTTCGTCCAAACCTACCACCCCGCTCCCCTCAGCACACAGAGTGACAACAAGCAGCCACTGAAATAAAACCTGTGCCTTCTTGTCCCCCCAGGTGGGCTGCGCCCTCTGGCCCAGACCTCGGAGCGGCCCCCCCGCCCCCCCCCCCGCCGCAGCCCCTTCCTTACCCTTCCAGCCCCGAAGGCTCCTGCGCACCTGTCCCGCGCTCACCCACTCCGCTGCGCACCTCGCCCGCCCCAGCACCCGGGACTCGAATCCAGCGCCCAACCGAGGTCAGTTCTTGTTAGAGGAAGTGAAGGCCTCTGAGCTCCTCCGAAGACAGCCTGCCAAGGAGGGCGCGCCCACGTCAGCTCCTACCGCGAGAAGGGGAAAGGCGGGGCTAAGGGTTGAAAAAATTTCCCGCCTTTTGGGAACTGCTGTGCATCAGGCCCTTTCGTTACTTTCGCTTTCATATTATCCACCCGACTTCTTCCAGCCTAAGCCTCCCACCCACCTCTGCCCACCACCATCTCTCTTGGTCCTTTATTTTCCACCCCTTCTCCACCAGCCTGAGGTTTTTCTGCACAATGCCCTGCCAATGAATTTTCCCCAAACTCCAGGTCAGCCCCAGGAACAAAGGAGTAACTCACCTAAGAGGACAATCTGTCCCAAACCGAGCTGTCACCCGCCTGCAATTGAAAATTCGAGGGAACCTTTCGCTTCAGCCGGGGACTCTGCGCTCTGGGGCAGCAACCTACGGAATGGGGCATCTGACCAATGACAGACAGATCATGGTATAGCAACACGCCTACGACGGAAGGCGATTGGCCGCGCGCTACCCAGCGAGCGGCGCGCGGACAAAGGTGAGCGCAGACCCATAGCGTCCGCTAGTGGAAGCAAATGCCCGGGCTGCGAGTAGAGGGGAGACCGCCGCTGTCCCTCCCTAATCAGGATCATGCCCCATTACTCCATTGCTCACTGCCATCAATGCCTGCTTCATCTTTCTTTGATTCCTTAGTCCCAAATTCGAGAGTTCCAGTGAGGGGTGGGTCGCGGTGGGCTGGGCTTGAGAGACGCGGGAGCAGGAGGCCCGAGAGCAGAAGGAGCGAGAACGTTGGAAGCGGGGCCCCTCCAGGAGCCCCAGCCCCACGCACGGGAACCCGCTGTGGAAGTGGGGCGGGAGGATGGTGGAGGAGACACGTCACCTGCTCCAGCGCACAGGAGGCACTGCGGGTGGGGGGGTGGGTAGGAGAGGGCTTGGGCGAGTCGGGCTCTTCCCCGGAGGCAGTATTCCCAGCAGTTGGGACACCCCCACGAGTATGACAATCAGGAAGAAGCCGCGAATGCAGGCGGTGGGAGTGGACGACCTTGTCATATATTGATTCTCCAAATGTCCAATATGTGGAGAAGCTTACAATCCGGATGAAGACGACAATATGGACTCCAGGAAGATGCATCTCAAAGCTGACAATCAAAGAACTCCATGGGAAGGGGCTTGCAAAGGCAGCCAGCTGTTTAAGGATCTGCATCAAGAGCAATGTGCAAGTATTTCATGCTGTGTCAGAGAAGGGATCAAGGTCACAATGGTGGCAGCTCTTATGCAATTGACAGAAGAAGATGATGTATATAAAGCGATAGGGTTGAAAAGTGTGTTGGTAACTACAATACAGGTGGCACTTTGGGGGAACCGGCCTTAATATCCATACAAGACATCCAAAGTAGCTAAAATTACTGCTTCCTCTTCTGTGGGTTCTCTAGGGTTTGGCTAGAGCAATCTTTAAAAAGTCAACAACAACAGTAAATTATAGGTACGTTTCATCGCTTTTCATTCTCCGAAAATACGGAGAGGATTCTACGCCCCTGAGAGTAGTGCATGCAACAATCACCAAGGAATTAGGATTTGGCTGATTCTGTTTTTCATTATGGATTCTGAAGCAGTAAAAGTTTCAGTGACAAGCAAAGGGTGGCAAAGAATACTGGGATTGAAAAGTGCCCAACAGTCTGAGATATCCTGTTTTGGAGAGCTAGCTTGGTGACTCCCAAACCTGGACAGCATCTTGCCATCTCCATCTGACTTCATAGCCTTTGACAGGCTTTTGAGATACTGCCTGGAAATTAAGAAATGGACCTTAGAAAGCTATGAAGAAGAGTGAAGTTGTCCTTTTTGGAACAAACACAGGCATTGTTGAGGCCACTGCATGTGGAGACAGTATTGAATAAGAAGACTTACAATGACAGAATAAACACAAGTTGTTAGTCCACTGAGAATGTTTGTGCCGACCTGAAGTGTTTTCTGTGGCTTTTCCCTCTCCCTTCTTCCTTTCTTCCTTCCTTCCTTCCTTCCTTCTTCTTTTTTTTTTTTTGCCTTTTGTACATTTCAATATATAAACAAAGTAGTGATTTAACAGACAATAGGCTTAACAGCACTTTCTAAAACATGGATGTTAAGAATTCAACATACTGATAGATTTTGTTTATTGAAATAGTGCACAGAAGATTAAATAAAGTTACTATTACAGAGGATATAAAATGTGTTCCTCTAACATCTATGCAACAAAATCTACTATGTAGCAAGATATCTATCATGTTTTTTCTTAAATCTTTATATAATTTTGTATAATTTTAATCATCCTTATATTAAAAACATTTCTGGCTTGCTAAGTTATTTTTTAGCTTATTGGAGAAAGGGTATAAAATAAATAATTCTTAAACCTTAAATATATTTGCAATAAAATATATTTTGGTTTAAGGTAATAGGACAATAAACTTTTTTGGTGAAAGATTACTGTCACACTTTTTCCTCATCATCCCTACATCTTTGGCATTTTCTTGATTTATATTACTAAAGTTCCTTATCTTTAAAACAAAAGACTAAGATTAACATTTTTTTCTGTAGCAAACTTTGGTTATTGTTTTTTTCTTCAAATTTCAGACAAAATGAAGTCAATTTCAAGTTACAAAACATAGCTAGTGAGACCTAAAATGAAATAAAATTCACATTCTCAAGACCATCAACCAAATAAGTTGTAAAAAGCTATTTTGACCATTAAACTTATTTATTTAATCTGACTTCTTTTGTCTTCTAAAGACCAAAGTTCTTATAATTACTATGAAACTCCTATTCTAAGAAAATGGTTTGGGTTCCTTGTCAATGTTTTATCAAAAAGGCTATTTCAAAATTCTTAGACTAGGTCTCCAGAGGACATGTCTTTTCCAATATTAGCTCCAAAGTATTTTTTCTTCCATATTTAATTTGCAGTCAGTAAATAGTTTTTTGGGAGGAAAACTTCTTCCTTGATGGGAAGAAATTAATTTTTACATGCAAGGTAAATATATAATCTGTATCTTTAAAAAATCACCCTGGTGAGAAACTCTGGTTTGGATCATCTTTAAAGTCAATTGCTAACTAGGCACTTTACAAATTTTAAATCATCACAACACCTCTGCAAAGTGGGGACAATTTTTATCACCCCTATTTTTCAGAGGAGGAACCTGGCCTCATGATTTTAGCCTCTAGGAATTTATTGTTAGATCAGTCTCTGTGATCCAACCCACCTCAGCTCTTCCCCGCTCCGCCTCCTCCGCGTCTTGCCGACCTCACCAGCTTCTCCCTGATCCTCTCGCGGCGCCCATGGAGCTCCTCGACTCGCAGCTCCGAGGTATGACACCGGCGCGGGCAGCCCTATTCCGGGACAGTCTCTGCCAAGCGAGCGGAGCCCCTGTGAACCTCACCCAGCGAGGGCGCGTCTTCACCACGAGCGGAGTCTTGCGCGCCGCCTGCAGATGGAGCCAGAGGATGAACCGGTACAGGGGGCGGGGGCGGAGTCGGAGCTAGGATTGACATCCTTCATACCCAATGGCAGCACGATAGGGAGATAGTTTACCCAATCTTCAGTTTTCTGGGGCAGAGCTTGCAGCGCTTAGGAGACTATTTCCCTCGCTGAGCGTTGGAGAGGTGCGAGAGGTTAGAAGAGATCTGTAAAGTTGCGGAGCTGGTCGTTCTCTCATGTGCTCCTCCGAGATCCATCTGTTGGTCTTAAGGTACTAGAACTGAGGTTAGCTTGGCTTGTTGGGGCTGCCTCACTGCCCCTTTAGTTTGCTAATGATCTGCTTCACCTTCCCTGGCAGTCTCAAATGCCCTTTCCTCCCTCACTCGTGATCCCCTGCATTGTTGTAAAACTGTAAAGGGATTCTTGGCGCAAGGCTAAGGAGTATGCTATTATTAATTCAGCTACCAAATATTTCTGGCCCTGAAAAGGGGAGAGCAGGCTGGACCCTTAAATATATTCTAAGTTATATAGTTTTCTTTTGTAAATCAATGTATTACCTATTAGGAAGTTTAATTCCTTAACCTTAGGTTTCCTCCCTAGCCTTTTTATAGCAGCAGCCACAGCAAAAGCCCACTGCTATGCCCGAGCCAATTGCAGACTCTTTCTGTTCCCTGAAGCTTAGCAATTAATTTCTTTACCCACCCTCTCCTCTTTTGCTGGCAATTGGGGGAAGTGATTCAGCCACGTGGTTCAACCAGATGGTTAAACAGACCAGAATCATTAGCCAGATTTCATTTTGAGTGGCTGTGTTTTAGTTTTACTTTAACTGTGTAAGTGACCTTCACAATAAACAACAACAACAACAAAACAGGCTGAAACCAATGTGTTTGATGTGGATGGATGGGCATGTCATCTCACCAGCAAGGTGCGGACCAGCCTCTGGTTTTCTCTTCTTGGCTCCCCTTTGCAAGGTCAGATGAAGCCCAGGATGACAAAGCAGCAAAGACAGAAAGGAAAGTGATGGAGAAGCGCCACAGTGGGGCCTCATCTTTAATGATTTGTATGGTCCCAATACAAGTATCTGTTGGAGTAGAAGTCCTGTGCATATGCTGTCTGGGAGAGCTGTTACTCATATCTCATTGACTTTGTCTGAGAATGATAAACCTAAATTCTTCTTTTTAAAAACATTATTAATTCTTTTTGGGGGAACTTTTATATGTGTGCCAAGTATAGTGTTAAGCAATGGGGCTATAAAAAGGAATGTAACGTTGTCCTCACCATCCAATAAGTTACAATGTAATAAATGAGAAAGACAAGTAAAAGGAAATTATAACTCATGGGCTGTAATACAGAAATAAATAGGATGCAGCGGTGGCATGAAGAGGGTTTCAAGGATGCTAGCACAGAGGTGGTGACATTTGAGCTATAGATCCCAAATTCAGATGTGCTTACTGTCACAAAATCCAAGGGTCTATGTATCTGAGTCCTGCAAATCCCAATGATAAGCTATACCTAAAATTTCATTGGAGAGTGCCTCTTACTATAACTACTTAGAACCACAGTTTGTCTGGCCCATCTGGTTGGACCCATCTTTGGTTCAGAGGGATGGGGCAGAGATCATATGGCAGCCAAGCTCAAGCAGTGGCATATGACCAGGTTTCCAGGATTGGCACTGAGAAGGGCAGGCTTCAATTGCCTACTATTAAAAAAAAATAAGTTTGAAGATCTGATTCACCCAATTAGGAGCTTCCATGAATAATCTTCAGTGGAGATTTAGTTGCAGCAGCAGGATTAAGTGATTTGAAACCTTTTATCTGTGTGATTGTAGCAGGGGCAGTACTGGGCTCCCAGGATTCATCATGAGGGCCCACAGCTTTATGAAAATGTTTAAAGGTTTCCTTTTGGTTAAAGCTATACCTCACCTTTTGTTGTGCGATTGCTCCTTTCAGTTTCAGTAAGTATTGAAACAGGAAATGTCAGTATACATGGTGTGGTAGAGAAATGATGAGTCTAATACTGAGAGTAGATTTCCTATTACTCAGGTAGTGATTAAGAAAGAAGGCTTGTCTCTTGAATAAGCACTTTGGGACCTTGAATTGGCTTATAAGTAAATAATTATAATACAACATATGTCTCACATATTAGTATTGGATAGAAGAATATGGTCACATTTTCCTCAGTAAGTCTACCTCTCTGCCGTCTTTATGGATCTCCTTTGTCAATAAAAGTTCCCATAAATGCAACCGGAAGGCATTCCTTGGCACCACCTAGGAAGTTTCTTGGAAAAAAGTCCAAACTGAATATAATCAGCCTCTAGATCTAACCACTAGTTTACAGGAAATACAGAGACTACAGCTACATATTGAATAACATCACAGGGATGACGCAGCAAAGTCTAGAATGTAGAATATTCTTCAGGACAAATATGACCCACTTTTCTTCAATAAATAAATGTCAGGAAAAAATAAAGAGGAAGGGGGAGTTTACACATTAAAAGTGACTTAAGAGACTCATACAACCAAATATGACGTGTGGACTTTTGATTCTGATTTGAAAAACCCAGATGTAAAACAAAAATTAACAGCAAATTTAGGAGTAGTTAGGGAAAGATATACACTGGCTAAAATTATCATTAAATTTTTGTAAGCATGATGACAGCATTGCAGTTCTATTTTACTAAATACTGCTTAACTTTTTGATTGTGGTAGCAGTTACTCAAGTATATACATTTGCCAGAATTCATATACCTGTATTCATATACCAGAATTCATATACCTGCCAAAAAGTATGTATTTTACTGTACATAAGTCCTCACTTAATAAAAGTAGACTTTAAAAAAGAGTAAGGAATGGCCACAGCAAACAATGGACAAAAAAGACCACCCTGAAGGACAAAATCTGGGGCTGTGAAGGACAATGATCAAGGCACTTCCAGCTCCAAAAAGCGGTAACCAAGAGTTGCAGTATGAGCTAACCAAAAATGGTTCCCCCTGCCAGAGCTGAGCATCCTGACAAATCCTGCGCAACAGAATTTGACCACTGCTGTGGGATAGTGACTGCTGTAGTTTCCATTCTTCTCTTTTCTGAATAAAAATTTAAGTTCTTGGATTCTGACCATATTCCACTATGGTATATGGGGTGTGTATGTAGTGTGAGGGGGAATGGTCAGATACATCCCTGGACTATGAGGAGCTGCATCCAGATGTGTCAGAGCGAAATGCACATTATCCAGAAATTCTGGACTATTTTGGGAAGTGGGTAAGTGTGCTTTAAGAAGAGTATATATAGATACTAGAGGGGCCAGATGGGTGGGTCTGTGGTTGACACTACTAGTTTATCCAATATCCATTTTCCCTTTATTCAACAGCAATAGCATTTAGGCTGGGCATCTGATCAGCCAGAATAAAAGCTACATTTCACAGCCTGATTTTCAGCTAAATGAGCTCTGTAACCAAATTGTATACAATGGGTACAAGCAGCCATGATACATGCAGTTTCTGGATGGTATTCTTAAGAGGAAAAGGTGCATTCTTCTTTTGCAGTTTCCTGGCTGTGGTGTATATGTGTTGGCTGGAGGTTTTGCAGCCATCTTGGACTGTGTTGCAAGTTGAGGACTGTGGTGTAACCTGATTGAAGACACCCAATATCTTAACATCCCAGAATTCCCACAACCACAGAGTATGTTTAGATTACCAGGTGAGAGAGAAATAAACTTCTCTCATTTAAGCTACTATTGTATTTTTGAAATTCAGCAGTTGTTCCTATATCCTTTGTAATAGACATACAGATCTAGAGTTTCTGAACCAACAATTTCTCTGAGTCAGATTTATGGCTTTTGCACACAGAGACTACCACATATTTGGGCAGTCTAATCAATTAGTAGTTGTTAAGGAGGGTACATCAGAGTGCAAGTAAACAGATTTAACTGAAGGGATTAAGTGCTGGAAAATCTTCAGAATGATACAAGCAGTGGGATTCAGAAGACCAACACTGGAGTTACTGGGTTTGAGAATACAGTCTTAGCTGCAAACCAGGAATCAGGAAGCTGGTTGGATAGGAAGCTGTTACAAACGCCTCTCCACACCATCAAAGTGAATGACTAGACATTGCAATGCTGACTCTGGCTGCTGCTATTGCTGTGATTACTCCTGGGTACCCAGGAAGCTGATGACTAGACCTCACTGAATGTGGCCAAAACTACTATCTCCAGATGCTCACTTTTCTATGACTTAGTTTGCCACAAGATGGAGCAAGAAGAAACATGGCCTACATCTTATTTCCATCTTCCAAATAATAGGCAAGTGCCGGGAGCCGCCCACCAGTCAGCTAAGCCTCTACCCAAGGAGAGAGATGGGGGAACGCACGGCAGACCCTCAGAAGCTGGCGGTCGGCCGCTCCTGATCCTACTCATGCTACTAATCTTAGCAATATTGCTCTTGCTGTTCTTTTTCTGTACATGGGATATCTTGGGAAAAATCTCTCCAAGCAGGGGAAAAAAGCTGATGTAACCTGGCCTTCTAGGGAGGTTTCAGGGAAACAACAGCCTGAAGGGAAAAAAAACGTTCTGACCCCTCCTGGAAAGGCAGTGGGGGAGCCTGGACAGCCCTCCAGGAGGAAGCCTTCTAATAATCAGCCTCTAAGGAGAACATTCCCTCCTCAAGTCCTTCTACGAGGCAGATATTATCTTAGGCCTGTTAGGACAGGAGGTAAATGGTGGCACCCCCCCAGGAGCAGAGGCATACAAAAACTACCCCTTCCTAAGGCAACTCATGATCCTGACAAAGTTGCAAAGAAATATCATAATATATTGACACAGAGGAACTGGGATTATGATGAGGATTGGGAACCCTATAAAATAGTTAATGGTAAAAGAGAAACCCCAAGCACTGTGCCTGTGTGGCTTTCGATCAGACGGAGCTGGGGGCCTGTGTGTATTTGGTCCCCTTACACTTTGCAATACTTCTGCTTTCATTATTACAGGAATAAAGATAGAGGCTTAGGGCCATTCGACCCATGAGGAAATAAATCTAGACGTTACACACTGTTTTGCAACCATTCTTAATCATCTAGACGCCTAGTAGACATATAAAAAAGGTCAATATCTATATTTAAGAAAGGTTGCTTACTTCTCACAGACATACTGTGCTAACATTCTAACAAGATATGCTTATGTACCCATTTTGTTTGCCAAAATTATGTACTGAGATAATTCCATGAAATCATAAACGCATGACCTGGACCCTATATAAGTGCTTGAATGCTTCGAATAAATCAGGCTTGGAAACCTCACTTCCAGTCTCACCGTAACTTCTCTTTTCGCCAACACCGTTCCTCCCTCAGGAACCCTACCGGGTGGAGCTGGACTCCGGCAGGCAAGTGCATCTATTTAAAGGAATCCGACTTATGCCCAGAATCTTAGTTTCAACTTAGACTGAGACAGCTTTTAGCTTTCCAGACTCTGAACATGAGCGGATGGGAATGGAGACTAAGCAATCACTCCTTATATCTGCCAGAGAAGCACAGAATTAAAGAACTGAAAAGCCGGGATTTTCTATTGGCATCTGCAATAGAGGCTGACGTCACAGGCGGCAGAAAAGAGGAAAAAATAAGATTAGCAAAGAACTTTGGGTTTTAGAGGATCAATACACCTTTTTCCCTTAACTCTAACTCTAAATGTATCTTGTTACTCAGAGAACAAGAACCGCTTCACCAGTTAGGAAGATGGGATGGCTGTACCATCCTAGGCATTTAGGGTGGTAAATACCAAATTCTTTGCATATGTCATCAGTGAGCTAAGTATTTTAAGTGAGGCTTGAGATTGTTTCAAATAAAAAAACTCAATCTGGGAAAAAAATCAATATTTATTTTCACTCTAATATGTGTTTTACATATCTAACAAGATTCTGTAAAAGCTGTCTAATTAAAAAAGAATATTCACTATATTTTAAGGAAAGAGCCCCAACTACTCTAAATTATTGGCATATTTTCTTGAAAACAGCATCTTTTTTCTAATGTTCCATGGGTTCCACCTGCTGATCTTGAAGTGACAACTCTTGTTTGTTATTTTTGTCTTCATTTTGATTCTCATTTTTCTCTTCGTTTAATAATTTATAAAAGCTCTCATTTTTCTGTTTAATATCACAAAGAATTGACTGCATAGAATAGCCGAATTCAATGAGGGCATGCACCACATTGCCACACTTATAAAAATGGCCGAAGGAATGTACAGCAACCAATTTGCCAGATTCATTAAACACCGGGGAGCCAGAGGACCCACTAGAAAAACAAGTATCATAGCTAAGTGTGTCACTTCTCCAAACTTCTGATGGGAAACTCCTTTGGGTAAACATAGAGAAAGCACTGTAAGTGGCAGCATTGGGTCCTACCACCTCATCTTGATGATGCTCTGGGTACCTGCTTAACCGCTGATCTCCAGGAATCACAGCACAACCATCTATTGTCTTGATCTCGCTTTCTGGGTGACCAATTAAGTAAATCAAACCATGAGAAGGTGGAGGGGAAATTTGTCCAAATAGGCCTGGAGGAAATCCAGTTCCATTTTCTCTTAGTTTTAAAATGGCATAATCTAGAGTTGCATCAGACACTGCAAACCATGGCTCAAGGGAATACCAATTGCTATCAGTAGGATAGAACGTTTTATAAGTGAAAGTTACTTTTGCACATTTGCTTATTATATCTGGCCACAAACTTGGATCTGTGCCTTCTCCCACCATAAGATGTACAACATGTCGACAGGTAAAGATATAACCATCATTGAAGACAAAGCAAGTACCTGTGCCCCTGTTTCCATTATTGTTCCACGTCATGAACCCAACTGACTTACTAAGATGAATAAGATGTTCACAGGTGGCAACTGAAGTAGAATTTTTAGTCACTTTTCCGAAGTTTTTTTTATATATGTTGAATTGTTTAAACGTTGACAGTTTTGTTTTTTTCTGCTCTTCCCGAAAATACTTTCTTATCCGGAGTGCCTCTTCATTAAAATTCGGATATTGATGCATTATAACTTGGTCCAACATTTGGAAATTCTTTATCAAGAGATTAATTGCCTTCCTCTGGATATCCTCATCAATAGCAAAATGCACAGCCTTATGGGGCCTTTGCCTAACTCGTGAGATTTTCTCCCTATATCTTCTGTTGAAATTATTGTTGTAATAATGCCTAACTCTGACAATAGTCCGGCATTTTTTACCTTCAATATCATGCCCTAGACTCTGAGGTGGCAGAATTTCTTCTCTGTTGTGTTCTGCATCTTCAGTCGTTGCATCTTTCTCTTGTTCATGGACCTTGATCTTATTCTGTATCGGATGCGAGGGACTGATTTCATCAGTGGCATTTTCATTCTCCCGTTTAATTTTTCTACAGGTACCTTTTCTGACAGATCTTTTTTTAAAAATGTCCATTTCTAAGACTTTTTCAGATACTTCATCCACCATGGACTGTTTTCCATGAATTTTATTATGACCTTCCATTAGTTTCCATTCAAATTTGTCTAGGTCAGACCGAAATCGGCCATCCTTGCACAGGGCTTCTTTGATAGTCTCACCCTTCAAGGCATAGATACAAAGTGTACTTCCTCTTTCATGAAGTTCCTTGATCTTAAGAATCTTCTTTATTGACTTCCCAACAGCAACGATGTGAAAAAGAATGCATTCGATGTTTGGATTTTCACATTGGCGTAATATCTGATCATCTTCTTCCTGGTTACTCTTTCTTTGACCAAACGTTATTTTAAAATGGGAACCTTTAGGTAGGCACTTGAGAGGCATTCCTAAATTTACATATCCTTCTATTGTTTTTTCTTCATAAGCAATAATGTTCTTATTAAAATGATTCTCCATCCTTTCACTGAAATTGTCATTAGCTTTCAAAGCTGAGTAGATATTCTCATTGAGTTCACCATATGTTGTAAATATACTACGGTCTGATTTCCTGGAGCTGTCATTCAAAGTAAAGGTGAAACAACATTTTTTATTGGTGCTCAGATTTGGGTTCTGAATTTCATGGGATGTTTCTTGCTTAATAACTTCACTTTTAAGCTTAACGGTGCCACTACCCTCTCTTGTGTCAACTAGAGAATGATCAACAGGTGTGCCAGAACATGTCTGCTTCACGACATCCTTAAAAAATGAAAGATTAAAAATTTAATAAGAACCACATTTAATAGTAATGTTTCATATTTTTCTAATTATAAAACTAATAAATATTCTGAATAAAAATTGGATAATAAAATAGACAATGTATAATGGAGAAAATATATCAATCATTATTCCATTACCAGAGATAACCACTGTACATTTTATTTGTTTCTATTATTTTACATGCAGTTATAAATCTTATGATTCTTAAATTATACTATACTGCATATGAGTTTATTTTTCACTAAGCAGTCTGCCAATGCTTTCATGTGTCATTAAACAACCTTTGAAAACACAATTTGAGGGTCCATATGATATTTCACTGTACAATAATTTCGAATCCATTCTTCTATTGCTGGATATTTAGCTTGTTTCCAATTTTTTACTGCTCTAAATGTGACAAATCTCTATACATAAAACATTTTGTTTGCATATCTGAATATTTCCTTAGGCCAGAATCCCAGCAGTGGAAATATTGAGACTAAGGTTATAAGAGTACTTCACAACATATATACTGCCACACTGCTTTCCAGGAAAGTTGGGTCAACTCACACTGTCCCTTCTCCCCTGCTGCCCAAGGAGATCAACCACATGGCTGACTCCTCAAAAGGATTTCAGTACTATTATTTTAAATGTTCATCAATTGATAGATGAAATGCCATCTAAGTTAACTGTTTTTTAAATTTGCATTTATTTACTTACTAGTGAAGTTGGACTTATTTAACACATCTTTTGCACAGTTGAAACATCACCTTTCAAAAATTCCCATTAAGTATCTGTTTAGCTTCTATTCTGTACATGATTCAACAGCACTCTGGGAATGTACTAAAATGATTGATAAATCACAGGATTGATATGTATACAAATCAATTTACATTTTCATATACAAACATACATATTCAAAACATATACATGTACAATCAGTTGGCAATAGCCTAGGAAAAAGTATTGATAACCTGATGGCAAGAGGAATGAAAAACAAGGATGTAAATGAAAAATATTACACCGTAGGAGTCAAGAGAACTTGCCTGGGAATTATTGTGGAATCTGAAGTCTTAGACCTACTCTATATGAATAGAGGAATAAAGCTAGACAGAGTAAAGTCAGAAAGGACACCTGAGCTTGGTTTATTTAGGAGGAAAGTGCAATGGAATGGGCTTAGGTTCTGGGCATGTGAATTTCTTCTCATGGTGCTTTCCTATTCTTTCATGTTTTCAACTACTATTTATTGTCCAAATCTCTATCTGCAACAATATCCTCTCTTTTGAGATCCAGATATAAGATTCCGTTGCCTATTTGACGTCTACTCTGGAACACATAGGGGCATTTCACTCTCAACACTTTCAAAAGCAAACCAAACCCTTTCAAAACCAGAGTCATAAAACTTACTGCTCATCATTCCTTTCTTCCTGTGTTTCCTGAGTCTGTTAATGGTGCCATCACCCACTCAACCACCCAAGCTAGCACCCTATGAATCATCCTCATCCTGAGTTTCTTCCTCTAATTTATCTCTTATATGCCACTTTTTTAAAACTAGGAAACATACTACACATACAAAAGCAGTATATGACATATCCTATATTTTAAATAATAATAAACATCTATGTATCTGCCACCCAGCTTAAGAAATAGCATATTACATTTCACTAGAAGCCTTCAGTATGCCCCTCCTTCATATCTCCCTTTCTCATTCTCATAGACAACTATTCCTGAATTTGTTTAAAAATTATGTTTCTTTAGAGACATACACATACCTAGTAAAATTATAAGTAACCATATGTTTTGCCTGTTTTTGATTCTATATAAATGCATCCTACTGAATGTGTACTTCTCTGATTTCGTTTGCTATTTTTTTGAGGTTCATTCCAGTTGACGGAGTCCTATATTCACTTTCACAGTTAAACAGAATCCACTGAAGAAATGAACTGTTTATGCGTATTTCAGTTGTTCCCAGGGTTTCTCTGCTAAAAATAGTGATGCAGTTCGGCTATGAAGATCTTTGAATATGTTTCCTGGTGCACATGTGCAAGAGCGTCTCTCAGGTATAGACTTAAGAGTGGAATTGCTCAACTATTCTTCCCATTTTTTCTAAATTTATATTCTCTTGCTTTGTTGTCTTCTTTCAGATCGATTTTTCTTCCTCATTCTATTTTCCCTCCAAATAATTTGGAAGTTTTACATTATACTTTTGTTCTGTAAGTGGATGCCCTAGACAAGTACTGTCCAATAGAATTTTCTGCAATGATGGAAATGTTGAGCATCTACACTGCCCAACATGGCAGCCACGTGTCGCTATTGACTAGTTGAAATGTGGTTAGTGCAACTGATAATCTGAATTGTTCACTTTTTTCAATATTTAACTTTAATTAAATTGAATTTAAATTTAAATAGCCACATGTAGCTAGTGTATTGAACAGTGTAGCGCTAGGTATTTTAACATGAATATTTAACTTAAAGTTTCAATTAAACCCCTCTTCCTAAATAATACAAGAATAAAAACTGTAAATACTTGTTCTTTACTTACAGAATAAAATCCAAATACCTAAGCATGAAGTTCAAGGAAGTAAAAGATACTGCAGCTATCTTCCAAAAAGCTATTCTACCTCTCTCATTTTTTAGTGCTATAAATGTGTAAAGAGGGGCTGGCCCAGTGGCGTGGCGGTTAAGTTCACGTGCTTCGCTTCAGTGGCCCTGGGTCTGCAGGTTTGGATCCCAGACATGGACCTAGCACCACTTGTCAAGCCACGCTGTGGTGACATCCCCCATAAAATAGAGGAAGATTAGCACAGATGTTAGCTCAGCAACAATCTTCCTCAAGCAAAAAAGAAGAAGATTGGCAACAGATGTTAGCTCAAGGCCAATCTTCCTCACTAAAAAAAAATTTTTTTTAAAGTGTATAGAAATGAATTCCTGCCAGCTCAGAATAGATCTTGATTGCTTTAAGTGCCCCCTTAGCCACAAGCTTTTGTGCAAGAATGGTTGAGCTACTTAGCTTGAAACAATCAGATGGCAAAGAGAAGTTTTCTCAGGCTACCAGGATAGATTCATTATCTGGATGGTCAAAAACGCAGATATGAACCCTGAAATTACTGAACCTACATGGTCACTATGTAGAAAGCCAGCCAGAGGCTTGAAATGAAAAACAGAGTGTAGAGATTGAAAACATAAATAAGTTGGGGCAGGCCTGGCGGTGTAGTGGTTAAGTTCATGTGCTCCCCTTCAGCAGCCTGGAGTTTGCTGGTTTGGATCCCAGGTATGGACCTATGCACCGCTTATCAAGCCATGCTGTGGCAGGCATCCCACATATAAAGTAGAGGAAGATGAGCACAGATGTTAGCTCAGGGCCAATCTTCCTCAGCAAAAAGAGGAGGATTGGTGAAGGATGTGAGCTCAGGGTTAATCTTCCTCAAAAAAGAAAAAAGGAAAAAGAAAACATAAATAAGTCCTTGAAAATAATTGTGTACTGCTAAATTAAAGCTCAGCTGATCTCTGGACTTTCCAGATGCATGAACTAATGAAATCCATTTTTTTTTCCCTCCATGGGGCTAAAAGTGTCTCGTTTTGTAATAATGCTATACAAGCTAAATAAATATTAGCAAATAATGCTGATACCAACGATGGATTTCACCATATATAATATTTGAATGGAAGCATATTTTTAAACAGTGTTTCTCAAATTTTAATATGCATAGGAATGACCTGGGTATATTGTTAAAATGTAGATCACGCAGGTCTAACAAGCTCTCAGGTGCTATCAATGCTGCTGGGGTATGGACCACACCTTGAGCAGCAAGGCCACAGACTTCCTTAATCCAGAGCAGCACTGTCCAGTGGAGCTTTCTGCAATGATGGAAATGTTCTATATCTGCCTTGTCCAATATGGCAGCCATTAGCCACACATGGTGACTGAGCACTTGAAAGGTGGCTAGTGCATGGAGGAAATTAATTTTAAATTTTATTTAATTTTAATCTAATGAATCCATTTTATTATTTCACAATTGCAGGATTTTTCTCCCTGACAAAATGAAAACTTTTTATTGATATAAAGCCTATTGTGATCTTGTACTAAACTATCTTGCCAGCATTATTTGTCTACCACATTCTTGAATTCTCCTTATATACCATCAAGTCTAACTATACTGTTCCTCAACTCTGTTTTCATGTGTACATGACTCAGTCTATTCCCTCATGCTTCATCCACTTCCCTGGTGAAGTTTTAATCATTAAGATCTTTCTCGTATGGTATTGCCTTAATTTTTTGAGTATGAATTAAGCATCCTCCTCTCTGCACTCCAAAAGCTCTTGTTGATATCTCCACTTAGTATTATCATTTTGCATATTTTTTTTTAAAGATTGGCACCTGAGCTAACATCTGTTGCCCATATTTTTCTTTTTTTTTCTTCTGCTTCTCTCCAAAGCACCCCAGTACATAGTTGTGTATTCTGGGTTGTAGGTCCCTCTGGTTGTGCTATATGGGACACCACCTTAACATGGCTTGAGGAGTGGTGCCATGTCCACGCCCAGGATCCAGACCAGTGAAACCCTGGGCTGCTGAAGCAGAGAACACGAACCCAACCACTCAGCCACGGGGCTGGCCCCTCATTTTTCAAATTTTGAGTAAAATAGTGTGTTGATCAAAAACCAGACCCCAAAGTGTGATTGCCTGGATTCAAATCCTCACTCCGAAGTCTAGTACTTTTCACCTTTAAGGAAGTTGGATTTCACTTTCTTCATTTGTAAAATAAGGATGATAATAACATCTATTGAATAGAGTTTTATTAAACGTTAAATGAGATAATCCATAGGAAGTAACAAGCATCATTCCAGGCACATAGTAACTTCTCAGTAAATATTAACTATGTTATTATTTTTCGTCTGTCTATATTGTCAATGATAGTAAGTGTCTACACTGTTTATCAGTTACCATGTTGTCTAACAAGGCACTTTTTGCATTAATAACTTATACACTATCATTTTGTTTTACAGGCACTTATGTGTATGATCTCTCCAAATATATTTTAAACCACACAAAAGAAGGGATTATAACTGCCATTCTTTATGAACTTATCCCCTTCCAGGATCCTAATATAGCGCTATAGTCAGAGTGCTGCTCCCGCGAAGGGTTGTTAAAAAGTAGACTTACCTCTGAAACTTTAGGTCTGGTACTCTGGTCATTTCCTGTAGCACTGAATGACTTGTTCTCTTCAGGCTTCATGGAATTCATGATGATATCCAAGAGAAGGTAAGTCACTTCCTCTGCTGGCTAAGCTAGACAGACAAAGATTGGATTAACCTCCTACTTGAAATGACTAAAAAAATAAGAAAAGACAGATGAAAGAATAGCTTTCAAACACTAGACATCAGGCAGCATAGAACAATGATCTCTGATCCGTACGAGAGAGAAATCAAATGAAGTAAGCCTTATGGATGTCTGGCTTACTGCCTGGGGAGTGTTTCTAGGCTACAGCCCAAAGAGAAAAAGCACAATAGAGCCTGGCAATTTCCCTGAGTTGGGAAGATACGCTGTGAGTCGTGGGATGCCTACATGATTGGAATTTGTAGGGCAGAGTACGATAGAGAAGAGAGCTACAGCTATACAGACAGCGTCGGAGATCTGTAGTGGGTACCCTGCAAATTTCAGCTAAATACTGAGGAGTGCAGGCGTGTGATGAAACTAATGGAAGCCAGGGGAAGAACCACCCAAAGGAAAAAGATGGAACGAATCTGAAGTTCACAGAGGGCTGAGAATAGTTTCTGTTCCCAAAAGTGAAACTGGAAAACATCATAATTCATGAGGTATCAGGTAGAGTATTCAGAAAGGTGTTGCCTCGATAGTGGGACAAAATTAGCTCTAGACTACAGGCTGCTCTGGTCCCACCTAGACAAAGTTTAAGAGGAAGCATTGGGGGGCAGGCCCTGTGGCCAAGTGGTTAAGTTCCCGTGCTCCGCTTCAGTAGCCCAGGGTTTTGTCGGTTCAGATCCTGGGCGCAGACGTGGCACCACTCATCAAGCCATGCTGAGGTGGCATCCCACATAGCACAAACAGAGGCATTCACAACTAGAACATACAGCTATATACTGGGGGACTTTGGGGAGAAGAAGAAGAAGAAGAAAAAAAAGAAAAAGAATAGCAACAGATGCTAGCTCAGGTGCCAATCTCTAGAAACAATAATAATAACAATAAGGCATTAAAAATAAAAGCAAGTCTTGCACAGATAAAACTGTTTGCAAATAACATAACTGTGTGCTACAACAAAGCTCAAGAATATTGATAGGAATATAACAATTTCTAGCACACAAAGATGTGAAGTTAATGAAGCTTAATATCCAATAAAAAATTATCAGGTATAAAAAGAAACAAGAATGTATGACGCATCATGAGGAGAGAAATCAAGTGACACAGATGAAACAAGTAGACAAGTACATTAGAACAATTATTACCTTGGATTTCTGGCTAAATGGAGTAACAGGAACCGGATTTTCCCTCAAGTCTGAAAACAAAACAAGCCAAAATGGGCAATATACGTGAAACAATAATTTACAAAGAACTGGACATCACGCAATTAAAGACAGTGACAAATGAGGTGCAATCTACTTACTCCAGCTGACTCCTTGAGAGATACCAGGCCAGGGCGCACCGAGAGGCGGCAAGAGTCAGCTGGGATTCCTGACTTGAAGAGATAGAGCTGAGAGACCAAGGTGGCAAGAGTTAACAGGACACAGAAGGAAGAGACCTGCACAAAGAGAGAACTCCGGATATGAAGAGGGTTCCCTTCAAATATTCAGCTGAGAACAGATCAGAGCAACAATGGAGGAAACTACCTAAGGCCTGGAAAGAACTACCCCAAAACGTCAAACTCTCTCCCTACACACCTCTTGGATCTTAGCTTCCTCATTTGTAAATTAAGGACTTTGGTTCAGATCAAACTTTTAATATTCCTGTGAATTACTTCCTCTGAGCTTGTTAAAAAAGAAGATACCATGGGGAAGCCAGGTGGTGTAGTGGTTAAGTTCGACCACCATGGCCCAGGGTCCATGGTTCCGATCCCAAGTGTGGACCTGGCACCGCTTGTCAAGCCACGCTGTGGCAGCATCCCACATAAAATAGACGAGGATTGGCACAGGTGTTAGCCAGCGACAATCTTCCTCAAGCAAAAAGAGGAAGATTGGCAACAGATGTTAGCTCAGCGACAATCTTCCTCACAACAAAAAAGAGGAAGATACCAGGTTCTACCCTCAAGACTATCTCAAAGTGTCTTTCCAGGAGTAAATCTCTGGGGAGTTTTACTTCGAAGCTGGGGAGCAGAAAGGAGATTCCCACAACCGAAAGCTGCCTTTCTTCCCTTCCCCCGAAAACCCCTTTGGTTCCTGCCTGAGGTCCTTCTGCGCAGTGCCCTTGATAACCACCCCGTAAGAACTCCACGTTCAACTCAAGACCAGAAGAACCACTCACAGAAGCGGAGAATCTGCCCCAAAAGTGCCGGCGAAGGCCACACTGGGATTCGCAAGAACTGCAGAGATGGCGCTCAGCTGGCTCTTTCCCGGAATTTACGCGGGCTCACAGGAATGGGTGTGGGATATGACATCATCTGGCCAACGGACGGCAAGGTTGCAGGAGCTGTCCGCGCTCATTGGACCACTGAGTGGGGCGGTGAGAAAGAATGGGGATGGACCTCAGGGGGCGGGCTGCCGCTACGGGCGGGCCCGCAGGAGATGCATATCCACCCGCCCCACTTGTCCTGATGATCCGGCTTGGTCCCACCCCTCCACTCACTGCCCACATTCGGTCCACGGCCAGCTTCCGTGTTCGGGGGCAAACTTGGAGCACTCGCTTCCTTCCCTCCATCCCTTCCGCCTATCCGCTTCGGCTGTCGCCAGGAGAAGAGCTGAGCGAGTGCTGGGCGGGAATAGGAGGAGCTGGCGGATTCGTGCTCTCCGCGGGGCTCTCGATCCGGGGCAGCTGCGCAGAGCAGGAGCAGCGCGCCCGGGGTCGAAGCTGCAGGGCTAACAGTCCGGCCACCGGTGCTTTGTGCGCGGTGGTTGATGCCCCTCAGCCGCTGCGGGGTGGGCGGCAGCGGTGGGAGGAGGATCCAGGACCGAAGCCTGCAGCTGCTGCAGAGCTCCCCGAGACCTGGCGGAGGCTCCTGCCGGGAAATTTGAGCGTCCGCGTGCCTCGCTTCACCAGCTTCCAGCGGCCAGAATGGCCGAAAGCAAGCAGCTTCTGCGGTGGCGTCTAGTCGGGCTTGGCTCCCCTCTGCAAATGAGCCAACTTCGCCGAGAGGCTGATGCACATAGACTCTGTCAACCAGGAGGACGGGGCAGCACCTGCACGCCTGGTTTCCTAGACGTTGCATTAGGACATGGCACAACTTTACCGCCCTGATGGAGGACGCCAAAGTTAGGTATCTCCAAACTGACCATCAAAGAAGTGCTTTGCAAGGGGCTTGAGAAAACATCTTACAGTTTAAGAACCTAAATTTAGGTTCTTAAGAACCTTCAGTATTGGGTACTTTTGTGAGTGTGTTGTGGTGAGGAAGATTGTCCCTGAGCTAACACCTGTGGCAATCTTGCTCTATTTTTGTATGTGGGATGCCTCAACAGCACAGATCCACCAGTGGTGTGTAGGTCCGCCCTGGGATCTCAGCAGTGAACTGCGTGTTGCTAAAGCAGAGCGTGCCAACTTAACCACTATGCCACCAGCTGGCCTCTTGGGTGCTATTTTTGAAAGGCTGGTCAAAGAAGGGGAAAATATGATTGGTGGGTGATGATAGTGACATTTCTTTCGTAATTCATAGAAGAATAGATATTTATGTAAAAGTTGATGGTGTTGGTGGAAGAATTGTGAAAGCTTTCCCGAACTTGTCTTGATATAAAACATACACAGAGAAGCTACAATCACTGCTTAAACTCCAGGTGATCTGTGGGATTTGGAGAGAGTAAACTTTAGAAGCAAACGGTAAAAATAATATCAAAAAATTAAAAGAGAAAAGAGGAAAAACTATGATAGGTTACCAAATCACTGTTATTCCTTAAATCATCCTAAAGTGTCACAGGTGACCGGTTGGTGACCAGTACCAACATCTATCTGGATGGAGAACAACTTATTGCACAAGGGGTCTTGCTGATTCGCTTTTCTTTATAGAATCTGGAGACATTAAAAAGTTATGAAAAGCATGAGGTGGTGGAGAAGGGTGCTCCTGAAATTGTCAGACATCTCTGGGGACTGAGAATTTGCCCTGGAAGGGAACATACCTTAAGGAGCGCTTGCATATGCCATTGGCACTAAATACCTTGCAGGCCATAGTCAAGAGTCTGGATTTTATTATAAATGTGAGAAGTATTCTATACAGAGAATTTGAAACAAGGGAGTAATATAACCTGATTTAAAAAAAAAAATCACTGGGAGCTGTGTGGACAAAAACGCTGAATGGACAAGAGTAGATACAAAAGGAGAAGGTGGTTAAGAAGCTATCCTGGCACTCCAAAGATGTGGGAGGCATGACCTCGGGTGGTATGGTGGAGGTGTGAAAAGTGGTTGGATGCTTCATAGATTTGGAAGGGCAAGTCCACAAGCTTTGTTCATGGATAGGGTGTTTCAGAAACAAGAGAAAAAGAGGGCTAGGTGATGATTTCTGGGCTTCTGACTTGAGCAACTAGAAGGATAAAGTCTCCATTAACTGATATGGGGAAATCTGAGGAAGGAGCTGCTGTGGGTACTATGAATGGTTGTGTGTGTGTGTGAGAATAAGTCTACTTTTGATATGTTGACTTAGAGATGCTAATCCACTCCAACTGAAAGATAAGGAGTGAAGTGGAAGGATTCACATTCAACACATGATGGTGAATCCCCAGGGAGGGTCAAGAACGGACAGGGACTCAACATGGGAGGGAAGAACGTAGCCCAAAATAGAGAAAGAGAGAGAGAGAGGCAGAGAAGGAGAAGCTTGGACTTAGGATGGTAATGATGTTGGCCATTAACTGAGAAGTATATCTGAACTACAGTGAGAATTAAAAGGAAAAGAACTCCACAGGGTGATATCTCAGCAGAAGATAAAGAAAAATCCTGCCTTGCTTCCCAGGTGCCCTGTTTCTTAAGGGATGTGTGGATTTTTACTTTCCAGTAGACTACTTTTGTCTATTTGTAATGGCATCCCAACCAGCACATGCTTTCTGTCAATCTTAGTGTCATGGCTCCTTGATCCTAGCTAATAGCTGATGCTTCTACTCCCTCTTCATTTACTCATCACTGGAATAAGCACAGAACCACATTCTTGGAATAATTAGCCTGATGCTATTTTAAGTGGCGGTCTTCTATTTCTGCCTTAAATGTAAAACTGACCCTTACAAGAAAACCGTCTAGAGTTGGCTGAGTCAGAACCTATTGGTTTGCAGTAGACCTCCAGCTTTGCTTTCCTACTCAAGGCTGTGCTCTGAGAGCTTTAATGCAAACCCAGTGACAGAATAGGGAGTGCTCAAGGAATCAGCAAGGAATTTTCTCTCTCTCTCTCCAGTAAGAGAAGTATCCACTGCACCCCACGTGGACTTAGCCTGGGGCTGAGACAGAGGGAGTGAGCTGGGTGGTTTGATCTCCACCCTCTTACAGCGGGCCTTGAGTCTCTCAGCTCAGAACTCAGCTGGGCCAGACTCAGGCCAAACCAAGAGGCCCAGAGATTGGAACTTCTCCCCAAATCCCCTCCCCTGGTGACTCGAATTTTGAAGGAGCCTGATTTTATCAAGCGCTTCCTAGAGGGAAATCCTTCTCTATGGGGGCCGAGGGGCCTACAGGCATTTCAGGTTCTAGGGCCTGGAGATGGATGAATACTTTAGTTCAACCCTTGTAAGGGGTGTGTTTGGTAGTTGACTCAGTTTGGTCTCATTTGATCATTGAAGTCACCCTTTAGGGTAGTTGTGACTTTTGCCCCCATTTCACAAATTAGGAAACAGGATAGTTAGCTGGAAACCACAGGACTAGTTGGGGCCACAGTAGAGAAGTCCAGGAGTTTAACCTTAGGGCCTCATAGCCTCTTAGGATCCTGCATGGAGACCTTGGGCAAGTTCCCTTCCTTCTTGGGGGTCTCAGTTCCCTATTTGTAAATTAAAGCGATCTGTTCGTTTGTGATCCCAGTCCAATTGTTTTAAACTTAGTACTTGTTTTTTTAAAAGGCCAATTCTAGGAATTAACCCCAATATATTTAAGTTCAATAGTTCTGGGGTGAGGCCTGTAATCTGCATCTTTTAACAAGCAGAGGCATCAAGAGACCCACCTGAGAAATTCAAACCAGTGCTTCCCAAAGTTTAGGATGCATCAGAATCCTCTGGTGAGCTTATGGAAACACATTCTGAGCTCCCTCTGCAGAGATCCTGATTGCTTAAGGCTGGACTGTGGCCCCATAACTTGCATGTCTCAAGAGAGATGCCAATGCTGCTGCTGACCCTCTTCAAAGCCAATGGTTAATTTTATCTAACAAAACTTATTCTAAATACCTTACAAATACTACCTAATTTAATCCTCATAATAACCATAAGAGGCAGCTACTGTTATTCCCACTTCAAAGGAAACTGTGGCCATAGAGATGGCAAGCAATTGCCCTCAAAAAACACACAGCTATTAGCAGAGCCAGGATTACAGGACGAGCAGTCAGGCACAGTGACCTTAGCTCAGAGGCATTCTTCTCTCTTGTTCCAGTGAGCCTCCACGACTCCATCCCACCCTTTCTCTCTCCCTTCCTGGTCTGAACCCGGCTCTCCCTACTCCGTCACTACTCTCCCTACTCCCTCACTCAGTGCCCACGGGTCAGTCCTAGGAACGAGATCAGCGGGGGCAGCCTCCTTCTAGGACCGCCCTGGCACTCGAACACAACCCCTAAGAACCGCGCCCTGTCTTCACCCCGTGCTCTCTCCTGGCTAAGGCTTCTTCACGACGGATGAAGTGAACCGCACCGTCAGTAGATGTCGCCAGAGGATGAACCTATTGGAACCGGGAGAGGCAAGGAGGCGGGGAAAAATCGGGCAGAGTGAGGATTGACACTCCTTATGGCCAATGGCAGCACGATGTGGTTTGCCCACTCTTAGGTTCTCTGGCGGCCAAGAGCTTCCCACCCCTTTAAGAGGCTTCCTTTGTGGCACAGAACACAGAGAGGTGGGAATGGGAGATACCACGTCACGTGCTCCCTGAAGGTACGCCTATGAGTCCAAGGTTGTTATAGCTCATGTTGGCTCACCCTTTGTTCCAACTTACCTTCCTCTCAGTTAACTAAGGCCCGCCTCATCTGTCTCTAGGCAGACTTATCTCCATCACGCTGGGTTCTTGGAGTTTTTGTAAAAGGAATCTTAGGGGCGAAGCCAGCATGATAACTGTCATTCTCTTAGCAGCTAAGTATTTCCGGCACTGACAATGGGAAGCAGGCTGCGTGGGAGTGAAGGTGAAGAGAGTAGAGTGAGAGATAACATGCAGGAAGTGTCCACTAAATGCCAGGCATTGTGCTTTGGCACTTTCCATAGGACGGCCTCATTTCATCATCTTCCTATTTAATTCATTTCCTGTTTCACAGATTAGGAAACAAGGTAAATAAATTTCTCAAAAGCAGTCCTTGAAT